ATGAAAACGTGGTGACTGGGTGGCTTTCCCTGAGCCCCCTGCTTGCTCCAGGGGGGAGGAGCTGCTGCTTCCACCCAGCCTGTTGGCCAGGCCCTCCCTCTCTTTCTGAAACCCCCTTCTCTCACTCGCTCTCCTTCCCACCCCCCAGCAGCAGCGGCGGGAGGATGTAGGTTTGGAAAACTGGAATGAAGTCACACTAGGGAGTTGGACACCTAGTCAGTTACACGAGCAACGCGCTGGGTGTTACTCCTTCCTGCCAGCTCTGCTTGCAGAAGGATATATGCTTAAGAAACTCAGCCAGAAAGAAATCCAGTGAAAATGAGCTATGAAACTTGGACATCCTGGAGAAATAATATTTACAGAGGAAACTCTTGAGACGAACTCTCAACAGTGCCACAGCCCTGGTGCTGGGGCTCAGGGCCGAGGACTGAGTCGTGTGCCAGGCAGCTCTGCTTCACGTTTACCTCTGCGGGGCGTTTCCACAGCCAAGACGGGACTCCTCAGACAGCAAAGTCAACCCTACTTAGCCCCACAGAGAGACAAACGGGCACTACTTAAGGCATAGGACAGAAATGGACTAGAGAATGAAAAGCTTTAAAAAAACCTCTTCCTTGGTGATAATGATGTGTCAGTGTAGGTTCATCAGTTACAACAACTGTATCACTCTGGTGGGGGATGATGATAATGCAGGGGAGAGGGCGTATGGTAAATTTCTACACCTGCCCCTTATTTTTGCTGTGAACCCCAAACTGCTCTACAAAATAACGTCCCTTTAAGATTTTCCTGGATTACCCAAAAGGACTTGCCCTTTGGGACTGCTGTTGCACCTATAATGCGTCTGACTAAATACCTACTTATATATGGATGGTAGGTGGAAAAAAAGTCCCAGGCAACTAACATCACTCAATTCTACGGCTGTGAAATGGGATCCTGGATGGTCATCTGCCATCTGGTACATGTCTGACCTTGAACACAAGGGGGACCAAGGAGGGAAGTGAATATGGCTTGATTTGGACCAATCTCCCTGATAACTAGAGCTCGAGGTATTGTACGAAAGAGAGGAAAAAGTAGGATACCTGAAATAGGTGAGCCTGGGTTCTGGTCATGGTTGTGCCCCTGATTATAAGTATAATGTTTGGCAAAACATGCTCTTACCAAACTTCAGTTTCCTTACCTGTAGGACAGAGCCAGTGCCACCTTCCTCCAGGGATGCTGTGAAGAGTGATGAGGTCACCTAAACACAGTAAAAATGGCAGTAATCGTACTGGACACTTCTAGGCATCAGATCATTAAACCCCACAATTCCATGAAGCAGATACTATCATTATAGATAAGGAAATAGGGGTAAATACCATGCCCGATCATCACACAACTAATACATAGCCAAGCCAAAATCTGAATTCATGCAGTTTGCTTCTGGAGTCCAAACTCTTTTGTTTACTCTTTATATCAAGATAGAAACTAGCATGATGCCTGGCACATTGCGGGTAATCAGTAAACGATTATTCCCTTCCTTTGGTCTCTCTTAAATATACAGGATTATGGTGAGAAATTGATACAAAATACATTTGAAAGTTCTCTGAAAACCATGAAGTCCAATGAAAATACAGAGCATTAAAAAAAATTTATTGAGATAAATTCACATACCTTACAATTCACCCATTTAAAGTATGCAGTTCAGTGGTTTTTTTACATTCAGAGATTTGTGCAACCATCTCTATAATCAACTTTCATCACCCCAAAAAGAAACCCTATACCTCTTAACCACAGTTTCCCCTTCTCTCTCTAAGCCCCTCCTCAGCCCCTGGCTACCACTAACCTACTTCCTGTCTCTATGGGTTTGCCTATTCTGGACATTTCTTTTAAATGGAATCATACAATATGTGGTCCTTTGTGAGTGGCTTCATCACTTAGCATGTTTTCAAGGGTCAGCTATGTTGCAGCATGCATCAGTACTTTGTTCCTTTTTATGGCCAAATAATACTCTATTGTATACAGCATTGTTATTAAATGTATTTACATGATTCCTAGACTGTTAGAGCTGAAAAAACTCTAGAGACTGAATCCAAACCACTCCCATTTTACTAACAAGGAGACTGTAGCCCGAAGGTTAAACAGCCTAGCCGAGGTCACCCTGTTGGTCAGTGGTCAGTGGCAGAGCCCAGCCTTGACCCTTACAACTCTCAACTTGGCCCCATCTTACTTCACTCCACAAAGCATTACTGGAAACACAATTCAAAATGCGCAGCTTACTGATGATGGGCCAACAGAATCATCTCTGCAACGATCAGCCTAACATCATTCATTCAGCAAATGCATACTGCCTGTACCCGGAGCACAGGGCACTATGGGAGGCACTGGAGACTGAAGGAGGAACAGGATAGCTAAGATTCCTGCCCTTTCTCCCAAGTGTGCAATCCCCTGGGGAGGTAGAAATTAATGAGTAAAGCCCTAAACGATAAAAATAAGTGCACACTGTACAAAATGCCATGAAGGAAACAAACAGGGACCGAGAAAGACAATGATGCAGGGACTAGGGTGGCAGGGGTCCTGGCTGAAGGGACTTGTTGTGCAGAGCGTGGAGGGGCACTTGGGTGGGGAAGGCCTCTCTGAGGAGGGAGTTTTAGGCTGAGGCCAGAAGGAAAAGGACCATCTTTGTGAATATTAAGGGAGAGGAGATACCAGACAGAGGGCAGAGCGTGTGCCAAGAGCCTTAGGCAGGAGGGAGCTCGGGGTGGGGCAATGACTCAGGGAGCAAGTGGTATGACCCGAGGCTGGAGAGGGGAGGCCTCTGGTCTGTGCTCTCATGACTACCTCTCAGAGCTAAGCGGAGTTAGGAAGACCGGTGGGAAAGGAGATTGTGGCTTCCGCTTTCCTTCCTGTGAATTAAATAAACGCCACTTGCCAGAGGAGGCCCTGAGTTTCTGTGGCTAAGACTTCCAAGAACAAGAGAACTGCATCTTCAATAAGGGTGATGTAACTATGTATCACCCTTAGGATGAATCATAAGATAAGGAAAAAAGAGGGAAATGAGAAAATACAGACGTACTAATAAGGAAGTGGTGAAATGATTATGGTACAGCCACATAATGGAACACAATTCAACTGGCAAAAAGAAGGTAACATCTTCACTACTGAAGTGGAAAGATTTCCAGTCAGCTGTTAAGCGAAAAACACAAGGTGTAGAACTGTATGGTATCTCACCATTTGCGTAGGGGAAAAAAAAAAAAAAAGGCAGGAGGGATAACATCTCTCTAGAAGGATATACTCAAAATATGTCTCAGGGGACTTCCCTGGTGGCGCAGTGGTTGAGAGTCCGCCTGCCGATGCAGGGGACACGGGTTCGTGCCCCGGTCCGGGAAGATCCCACATGCCACGGAGCGCCTGGGCCCGTGAGCCATGGCCGCTGAGCCTGCGCGTCCGGAGCCTGTGCTCCGCAACGGGAGAGGCCACACCAGTGAGAGGCCCGAGTACGGCAAAAAAAAAAATACATATATATGTCTAAGAGGAGATTACTTGTTTGTCTCTGTCTCCCCAGGAGAACGTGCCCCAGAGGAAGGGCAAGGATCCTGTCTGTCCTGTACCCCCATCAGTTGGGAGTGGGGGGCTAGAAGGACTGAGAGAAGACATTCACCATCTCCTCTTCTATGTTTCCAAGTCTGAAACATGGGAATATATTTCTGATTCTAAGAAATTAAATGAAAACAAGGAAAAGCAATAAGGGGTCTAGAGGTGCCAACCGAAACCCTGTATTCCTTCTAGCACCCCTTGCGCCTCAAACTTTGACAAAGTCAACCCTTAGAGGGGTCAGCTGACTCCAAGAGAACTACTGGGTGCTCACTGGTCCCCAGTCTAGATTTCACTCCTTATCATAACAATGGCTATGACCAAAGAAATTTTCCAAAAGAATCCAGAATTCATTTCAATTCCCAAATGGGAACCATCAAAGCACCTCTCTCCAGAGGATGAACAAATGAATAATTATGAAGTGGGACTCCAGTAAGGTATCCAGCAGTGAGCAAGGCACCATGGGAGTATCAGTCGGTATAAATGGAAAGAGGGCAACTCAGGGTTATCTCAGTCCTCGCCCTCAACTTCAATGTTTCTCAACCTCGGCACTATTGACTTTTTGAGCTGAATAATTCCTTGACGAGAAGGGCTTGCCTGGGCGCTGTAGGATATTTATTTAGCACCATCCCTGGCTTCTACTCACCAGATGCCAGTAGCACCATCCCACCCCAGCTGGGAAAACCAAAAATGTCTCCAGACATGGCTAACTGTCCCCTCTAGAACAAAATCATCCCCAGGTAAGAAGCACCATTCCCATCCCAGGTGGCTGCTTCATTCTCCCTTTCAAATGCCAGGGTTTCCCCTCTGCCTGTATCCCAGTGGGGTTGCCACAGAGGTTGGGGGTTGACTGAACTTCATTGTGGGTGAGTTACCTGAGTTTCTTATGTGCCAAGCAATCTAACTTCCTGGGAACCTCTTCTATCTGGGAAAATAACACTATCAGATTTTGAAAAATAACAATCTGTCCACGAGAAGCTCCCACACCAGGAACGCCCGGGCCATAAAAAGGTACCCCTGCCAAAGTACGTTGATAACTGAAGCTGAACACCCTCAGGCTGGCCGGTTGCCGACTCTATGATCCCCCCAAGATCACTGGGATGATGGAGCCAGGGAAGTGAATGCTGTTTCCTCCTGTGACCAGGCCCTGCAAAGTACACGTGGGGTCACGTTGTAACGAACGAGGCAGAGGGATGGGCGAGCCCGCCATCATCTCTGCTTCCCTCGAGAACATGATTCCCAATGGACAGCTTTCTTTGGAGGGCAAAGAAAAAGGAACTGTATTTCTATGTTTTGATTAATTTGAGGCTCATCCTTGAGGGCTCTGTGAGATGAATGAGCAGAATTTTCCGTGGCTAACTGTCTTGGCCGCCAGGCCCTATCAGCAAAAGCTTAGTGTTTATTTACTTTTGCTCGTGTTATTTTTATTTCAGTTCAGCTGCAGCTCAGTGCGGAAAGCGTGGGGGAGGTGTATATAAAGAGTACGGAGACTGGCCAGTACTTGGCCATGGACACCGACGGGCTTTTGTATGGCTCAGTAAGTATGAGGCTGACATGCTTCCAGACTCGGCCAAGGTTTGAGGTTTCCAGAAATCTTGTTACATGGAGTGATGCAAACTATAAAGCGTCAATTAGTCTCTGTTTGTCATTTTTTCCAGCAGGATTCCCACCCTCCACCCTGCCTTATTTTAGGCACAAACATAAAAGAGTTTCTTGCGGGATTCTCTCAAAATACTCCAACGTATTATCACATAGACAAAGAGAAAAAACATTGATTGAAATTTTAGTAACTCATCCAGTCACTCGCTCCAGAATACCCAATCCCACTTCATTATTTCATTCCAAAAATGTTTCTTGAGCATCTACCATGGGCTATATAGGTGTGTCTCTTAAGGCTTTTTACAAAAATTGCAGAGTCCAGACTCTAGCATTTGATATTTCACGCATAAAACTTTGAAAATAGCCCTTTTATTCTGGAAGGGTCACCTAAAAGGATAAAAAGTTTAATAACTTGGGCTTCCCTGGTGGCGCAGTGGTTGGGAGTCTGCCTGCCGACACAGGGGACACAGGTTCGTGCCCCGGTCCGGGAGGATCCCACATGCTGCGGAGCGGCTGGGCCCGTGAACCATGGCCGCTGAGCCTGCACGTCCGGAGCCTGTGCTCCGCAACGGGAGAGGCCACAACAGTGAGAGGCCCGCGTACCGCAAAAAAAAAAAAAAAAAAAAGTTCAATAACTTACTTCAACAAACATTGAGCAAACGCCTCCTGTTGTCCAAGTACAGTTGGGTACTGAGCGGGTGCAAAGGTGAATAAGCCACATCCTTGCCCTGGAGAAGCAAAGTCCAAGAGTTTATTCAGTAGCTAAAATCCTGCTGCATCTCCTGCTCCATCTCTCTCCTGGTTAATGCTTTATATATGTTTGACTCGGTACATATTGATCTTTGTGAGAAAAGAAGAGAATAGGGGCAATCTGATTTTGTCCCTATTGGTATCTCTGGTAAACGATCTGAATGGAAAGACAGCTGAAGTCAATGGCTGCAGGTTTTGAAACTATTTCTGGATTTCAATGATCCTTTCTCTGTAGCCTAACAACTGAACATTAAGGCTTCACCAAACCCCCTTCTTCCCTTTTATGAAGATGTCTACCAAAAGGCAGCCAGTAGGTAGGATTTTAGTTTGGGGCTCCCTTTAACTTACATCAAATTGCCAAGTGGCAGTGGGCACAGGAAACCCTCTCTTGAAGCTGTAATCTCAGCCAAAGTTTGGGATGTGAACACAAGTTCATTTTTTTTCACGCTGCCCACTAGGGCTCAGGAGATGAGACCATCAGAGGAACAGGTAGTTCCTGCAGGCTGTTTGCTGAAATATGGATTGATTTGGACAACTTGAAAGGGTTTGGAGCTAAGCAGTGACTGGTACATAGGGAGTAGACTTTTTTTTTCAGGCAGGCCTTCCAATCAGCAATAAAATCAACAGGCCAATCAATCATTCAATCTCAGACTCATAAATGAATCTCATGCCTCTGCCACTTTGGCAAGTTACTCACCTACTCTGAACCTTGTGTGAAACAAGGATAGTGATGGATAATTACCGCATACTTACGTACTTAAGAAGAGTCAGAGAGACAACGCAGAGAACCCGCCCACTGGTGTAGCAATGGCAGCTATAAGGCAGTCGGTTTACAAATCCCTTACCCTCATTATTTCTTGCATTATGTGTTACAATTTTATGGCTTCTCCTCCTTTAAATCAATTCTGATGTTTATTATAACCTTCTCTTACTTGCATAAAAATTTGAGGGCTTCCCTGGTGGCGCAGTGGTTGAGAGTCTGCCTGCTGATGCGGGGGACGCGGGTTCGTGCCCCGGTCCAGGAGGATCCCACATGCTGCGGAGCGGCTGGGCCCGTGAGCCGTGGCCGCTGCGCCTGCGCGTCCGGAGCCTGTGCTCCACAATGGGAGAGGCCACAACAGTGAGAGGCCCGCGTACCGC